CCAAATCACAACGAGTAGCCAAAATTCATTTATCCATACGTTTCAACAAAGAGATCAAACTTGCATTCATTTTTTTGCATTTTCGTAAGTGTTCGACAACCACCACTGAAACTTGTTCCAAAATATTTTTACAATCTCGGAGCAAACATGTTTTATTCTCCATTCGAACAATAGTTGTGCCAAACCATCTCTTCACCCGTTTCCAACCTTCCACCCACACATTCCCAAGACTAGAAGATAGTGTAAAACACAACTTTCCTCCCTTATCCTTATCTAGTAGTAAGCCAATCAGCTTAGTGGTTCGGTTACCGCCAATCTCAAAGTTGACACACCTCACCTCATAGGTTGTTAAAACCGCAAATTTACGTTTTTTACCCGTCTTCCTTCGTTTCCTCTTCCCCTTCCTTTGTCATCTTGAGTCCGGAGGTCCACGCCCTGTGGTATTAAGCACCAAAGACCAGTGTTTGATGTACCAACTCTCAATAGCAGTAAGCTCCGAGTTGCCAGCCGTAGCCTGCACCAAAGGTAGCAAGACATAACTTTCTCGCCCATATATCTGTAACCACCGGTGAAAGTGTGACTTGCGATCTTTCTGCTTACACTTTCCTTGATGTTCACTCAATCACACATCCAAATTTCTTTTAGTCACATTACAGTACTAGGAGATAGCTACATAGGTCCAGACCTTCATCATTCTCTAAGCATCAACGCTTTCAGTCTCCTACAAGTTTATTTCCCCATTGGATACATCCACGCACAGCCAAAGCGAAAGAAGTTCATTTATAGCTAGCTTCCAATTCCTTGTCCACACTTTTCAAAATTTTACGTCTCTTGATCAAATCCCGACATACATACCACAAACGCTCCGTAGACCTGGATCTTCAAACATCTTCATCACTCTCGTTACAGAAACGTCGTACAACGAGGATGTCGTCTCAGTACAATTTTTCATCTGCTGATGCGATTACTCCTACGGCCTTTTCCCTGGCTGGCGGATCATCGCAAATTTCTTGGGAGCACATCTTTCAGCAAGATCGACAATGACCTAGTTCTTTTCGATATAAGGAATTTGCTTCCTCTTACATATCTTCTTTACCTCTTTGTAACCCAAGCTATCGAGGAACTCCTTCGTCTCATTGACATAACATTCTATTTCATCCAGACTCACGCCCAGGACAATCTCCTTACTCACGTTACGTGGCATAACCCTTAGAGAGGTCCTACGGTGTGGACGGTCACATGTCTTCAACGTACCATACATCTTGCACGTTGTATGCGTAAGTGGCGTAATCCCGAGGAGGGTGCCCCAGTGTCGGTCTCTAAGTCTGAGCTTAACTCCATACGTTTAGTGTCCACACTCAAAGTTGCAACCTCATCATCTGTTTCTGGCTCACTAGGGGCGATCCGAAGGCGAAGCTTACTCTTCATGTTACAAGCTTTCTTTTAATGTTCACACCGTTCTTCTAGCTCAATCTCATGCCGCACTACTCCCCATCTTTGCGACTTGTGCATGTCAATAATGCGTGTGATCCGCAAGTCGTTATCCTCTTGTTTTTTTTCTCTTCTTTTCACGTTGTTTGTCTTCCTTTTGCACGTTTTTCATTTCCTCATGCTTCTTCTTCTTACGCTCCTCCTTTTCTTGACGCTTCAGGTTTTTGGCCTCTTCCTTAGCTAGTAGCATCGCCACCAAATCAGCTACCGGATCCTTGGTATTATCAGATCTTCTTACATATCGGTCCGCAAACGGCGATCTTCTCAGAGGTTCCCACCGATTTGGTGAAGGAGACGTAGATCTCGCACGTGATGGTGCATGGACTACCTGTCGTTCGCTAGTTTCCCCCACCACATCATGTTGTTGTCTCCTATGAACCTTCTCTTTCTCTTTTTTCCAAAACAGACCATACTCCCTGGCATAGTGCTCGTATTCTTTACAAGATTAGCACCGAGGAAGATACCTTCGCTCGGTGTGGCTTCCGCTAGTACCTCCTTCGTTATCTAGTGGTTGTTGTCTAGCTGCTGCCATCACTCTTGGAAAACCTCTCGTCATACGTCTTTACAATTCGTCACCCGTAATCAGTTATCAAAGTCTTAACCACCAATTAGAGTAGCGACCCTCCGTCGGTTATCAAGTGCTTGCACAGGGGCAAATAGGTGCACATACACACAAGGTGAGTACACAGTCAACGAAAGTGATACACAACAAATCTTTCACAGAAACCCGCATCGCGGGATATCCAATCGGAGAGTATTAACATTATCGACGTCCTATCCCTTCTCCGCCTCTCCTTTTGTCCAACATACCCAAGATCCACCATGCAATCAGTCACACAAAATAGTGGCAGTCATCGTAAGCAAGGATGTTGAGGACGACAGCCCGAACGGGTTCACTGTGTAAGAGGGAAAACAACTAAAATTAGCTTCACAGATTCTAAGCACCTACTATGCAACCCCGAGTCGACGTTCCGCTCTCGAGTGCATCGGCCCCCTCGCGAGCGAGCGAGGGCCCTCCCGGCCGTGTCACGTAGGAGAAACTTAGTCTTTCAGCTTTTTAGAGGCAACTCAGGGACGACACGGTAACCCGCGTTGACCCTTCGCCGCTCCGGCAGAGTGCGCCAGCTGTACATCCCACGGTCCCCTACGACAGGATAGGTTATCGCGGGGGACAACTTACCTTCCCTAAGGGGCTATCACCACCTTGAGGGGCATATCCCTACCGAGCTACCAACCCACATGCGAAAGTTTTTATAATGCAATTGCAGAGGTAGGTCAGTCGAGGGCGTTTGCTTGTTCGTTGTAGCATAGGTACGCATGGTTAAACGCCAAGTGGACCCCAAGACCAACGTCGGTCGACTAGGACGTGATATTCCAAGCGTAAGGAAAACTGCGAGCGATCCTAATCCCTTCTTTCATCCGACAAGAGTCGACTTGACTCCAACAACGCTTATCAACAAAAGATCAAAGCATGACCAATACATAAAGCGACACTCGAATGACGTTTGGCTGAAGTATCTTCACTCTGCCGGCCACATGGCTGGACCGTCACGACTTTTTCGATTGGATGAGATGCGTTGCCAAGTTCTTTCATTCCACCCCATACTGGCTGCTTGCAAGAAATATGAGTGTCCCGATTCTCAAGCAGAGTTAGAGTGTCATTGTTTAATGATGACTCCACTACTTCTCTAACTTTGGTGTGAATGTCATTTGCAAGTAGTCCGGCTACCACTATCTCGAATGAACGTTGATGACACCACAAGTCAGCGACGTCACATGTCAACGACGCCGTATGTCAATAACGTCACACGCCATCGACGTCAGGCTTTACGTCTTTCAGTTATAGGGTTGGTCTGAATAACTTTGACAATGCCAATCCCATAAAGTCTTTCAATCCAAGCAAGGGTCGGGCAGTGTCTGACCTTGAAAAAACCGAGCAGAAACCCTTACAGGGGTTGTAAGGGTTTCTGTCCCGACAGCCTTCCCCGCCCCCATTAAGCGACGTCTCTGTCGCTTACCATAAGGCAATACAAGSGGAAGTTTTTATAAGACCTCACCAAATATATTACATAATCATAATACCTCTAGAATTAACCCAGATTTTACATACTTATACGTGATGAACGACGTTCCCGCCGTTCATTTTTCTTTCCTTGCCTAATCTTCTGGATACCCTTCTTATGAAATACTCCGTGCAGACTTCATTACCGTCAACGAGAAGGGCTTACTTTCAATCCTTTAATAATGCTTTCGAACCTTCCTTCGAAATCACTTTCATTCAGTCACGAGTCGGAATGGGGTCAGAAATAATCTATGACAGGCCTTTCCCCGGAATCTGGAATCCACCGCCGGCGTTACCCAGCCTGAGGAGTTACAAGAACCTTTTAGAAGAATGATCCCAATATCATCCCACTGGCGGCCACTCATCTTTCATTTTGTCTTACATAGATGGGTCAGGCTTATCCCCCAGATGGGACTCTCTTCAGACTATAACCCCCTGTCTAGGTCTCGTCAGGCTTAACCCCCTGCGGGTCTTTCGTCATACAGCACATACTGCCAGGAATTTAACATGGGCCTCTCATGTTCGTGGGGGTGCATTCCTAACACCTCAGCATATCTCTTGCTGCCAAGAGTTTTAACCCGGGCTCCCCACTAAACACAAGGGTACTCACACTATACTACAGCATGTGTCGGCACCATCCCAGAGAGAAATCACCCTTTTCAAAAGTCCTTGTCCAGTCCGGCTAATTCCCACTCCAACTTAATTGTCATGCACGATTTATCTCCTACATGTATTGTGAATGCGTCGAGGAGTGGTGTAATCCATAGAGGATAACATCTCGACGTCAAGCCCCACTTTAGACTCGAGCCTCACCACTTTCCCTCTGATTCCAGTGTCATACATCCGTTAGTACCCTACCTGCAAGGTTGAACTACCCCTTCCTTATGACCTAAGCTGATAAGACCCAGCCATAAAGTCGAGGCGACCCAATTCACCTCAAAAGAAAAGGTGATCAATTTTTTCCTCATGGCGAGCGGTAATCGCCACCCTCACAAGCAAGGTTCCAACAAACATATTACCACCTTCATCCCTTTCGACGATAGTGTAGTCATCCTCCCCGAAAGGAAGGATAACAGCATCCTACTATGGACCAGGAACAAAGTTCCGACGTAGGTCTCACCACCGTCTACGGGGCTCACAACATTCCTCATTGCATGACAATCGAAACAATACAAAGTCATAAGGCATGGCAAGCAATTGAATCACATGTCTGACGAATAATACACATGTTAAGTCAGGCATACGACCCAAGTACAGATCATCTCCTTAGACTTGTACTTACAAATCCTGCATTCATAACCACATACACGGAGTTTCATAAGAATTTCAGGTCCTACAATTATTTATGTATGTGATGAATACTTTAATAACATAAGCATCCATCAGCTATTTCACAATACTCTTCTTGGAATGGACATCCAATCATGATAAGAATCTCACTAAATCCTTTGGTATCACTCTTTTACTTTACAAACAGTATTCAATACCTCTTATGCATAGCGACAATTGTGAGAAAAATGTCATAGTCATCTTACAATTGCCTACGGCAGTAAGGCACAAATCCATTATTACAAAACAACAGGAGTCACAATCTCATTGATAACCTTTCAATCTCGTTGATAACCTTTCAATCTCATTGATAACCTTTCAATCTCACTGCTTTTAGTAGTACTTTACAACTTTCTTTGTTAGCCTAAGACAAATGTCAGAACCAACTGAACCACAATACAAAAGCAAGAAAGATACTAAAATTGATGTCACCAGTTACCTCCTCTACCCTTCCTTTCCAAAAGTTTTCACTAAACTTTTGGGATAAACTTCCGTAAATGTGCACACGATACCCAATTCCTACCCCGAGATCCATCCAACTCCTCTATTTCGTATGCCCCATGTTATGTTTTCCTAATGATCCGATATGGTCCCAGCCACTGACTGTCGAGCTTTCTGGACCACTGTTTTTCTAGCGACATATCATACAATAAGACGACGTCTCCCACTTTCAACGGTTTTTTTCGTACACGTGGCCTCTTGTCACATCTTTCCTTGTCAGCCTGCCTGCTTTCAGAAGCAGAGACAGCCGCATCCTCAATCCATTCTTCAGTCGCTATGATCTGTCTTGCCCTCAATTCCAATAACTCTTCCGTCGAAAGTTTCGTTTTCACATCATGTTTTTACCAAGTGGTCAGGAAACTCTCAATTGGAAAAGTCGCATGTCGTCCAAACCATAATGTGACGGGGGCATACCCGGTTGTTCGCTTGATGGTAACGTTCTCAACGAAAAAAACTGCCCTCAAATAAATCGGTCATCTTGATGGTTCCCCCTTGCACTATTTAGCCAACAAGTTAGAGAAGGTGGCATGTCCTCGTTCCACGGGTGCATTGGCCTGGGGATGCGCTCTCGTCGTATAACTGAAACTTACCCCAAGTCTCTTCAAAAACGTTTGCACCTCCTTTGCTCGAAACTCGCCTCCTCGATCCATAACAATCTCTTGAATAAATGGATAACGGAGGTAATATTCCTTAATGCACTCCGCCAAGACTGACCCAGTACGTTCGCGAATGGCACGACCATCAACGAACCCAATCAAACTGTCTCGTGCATCAAAGATATATCTGTACCCATTTATCCCGGGTGGCATTACCAAGAGATTCAAATGTACCACTGCACCCGGTTCTGCCACATAACACAGATTTAGAGGCTCGAGGTAGTGGATGTTAGACCTCTGTTGACAAGGGAAACAAGATTTACAAAAGTCAATCACCATCTTGCTCATCCCTTCCCAGAAATAGAGACGTTGGATCTTGTTCAGAGTTACCTGCGCAGACCTATGCCCGCCGGCTACCCCATCATGTAGAGCAGCAATCACATCCAACTGTCTGGAGGTTCCGCATACCACCGTCTTTGGGACACCATCAGCAAACTTCTTAAAGAGATGACCATCACGAACAACAAATCCTTTGCTCTTTTCTCGCACAACCGGATCAACCTCGCTTTCATCCAATTCCCCATTCAACCACATGCATATCTCTTTATACTCCCCTTCGTACTCCTTTTCCTTAAACGCTTCTTTGACCTCACTGCCTCCTTCCTCCGCATTCATTAACCTCAGGCGATTCTCATGAACCAACAAGTTCATGATATACGACATCCTTCCAACGGTCTGGAAAGCGTCATCAGCTTGCGTATGGCCTTGTTCAATTGTTAGCGGATCAAGCATAAGGTCGATGTTATCAGTCAAAGTCAGCCTCATCATTTCCTCTGCGGTATGCTCTCCTCATGGGTCCTCCTCAATGAAAGGTTCCTCCATCACGAGTTATGGACGTACCTCGTGAAAGGCAGGAGCATTCCATATCGATTTCCCATGCCGAGTGGCCGCATCTGTCTGGTAGGTAAGATAGTTAATACTCAATCGCGACTCCTCTTCTTTCAAAAAGGCATCATCCGGAACTGATTCTTCCGCCTGATCCGTCTCTGGGTCTCATTCAACCCGACTCAGCTCATCAACACGATTCCAACTTTTCGAAATCCGCTCAATTTCGAAGTCAAACATCCAAATATAAGTCAACCATCGTGCAATGGTGGGATCAGCAGGTGAATAATTCCTTAAGGATTGAGCCAATGCAGTTGGATCTACCCGCAGGATGAAGCGTCTCCCAAACACATAATTCCGAAAGATGCGGAAGCAGTGAAGCACGGCTAAAGTTTCCTTTTTGAACTGGGAATAGTTCCTCTTAGCAACATTCAGAGTCGTACTCTCAAATCTGAGAGGTCTTTCCTGCCCTTCGGCATCCTTCTGAATCAAGACCCCTCCCAGGGCTGTGGACCCCGCATCAGTCTCAATAACAAAATGACGTTTTTCATCATCATCGAAAAAGGGAACTCCAAGGATCAATCCGCCCTCACGAAACTCAGCCTTTATATCCTCCACGGCCTCCTGTTGCTTCGAACCCCATTCCCACTTCTGGCCTTTGCGCACAAACTTTCGCAAGTGCTCCACTCTGGCGGCAAACCTGCGAATGAAGATGCGCCAAAATCCACAGGTTCCGAGGAAACTTCGCACATCTGTGATCGACTTGAAGGGGGTCGGCCATTCCAATATTTTATTAGTCTTCTTCGCATCCGGCCGGCGACCTTTCTCGTCACAAAGAAATCCTAGAATCACTGCTCTCTTCATACAATGTCGAGACTTAATCCCACTAGTTGTGATATTAAACTCCTTTAACCTCTTAAAAACTTTCACCATATCATTGATGTGCTCCCAGACAAAACGGCGAACGCTCGGCAACACCTCCGTCAGGTCCTTCGTACAAGAACCTGGAATAGCCAAGTCATCAATATACGGTGAAGTTATGTCAGGACAATAAGGCTGCATAACCCTCGTCATATATCTCTGAACAATGGCAACTACATTAGTTCACCCCTGCAGCGCCACACACATATGGATTAATCCACGAGGACTGTGCATCGCCATCTTAGGTCAATCCGCAATGTAAATGGGGAATTAATCATACCCGGAATATAAATCAATGAGGGTGATGATAGACTTCCCTGCACAAGACTCCGACAATAGGTCTGCATGTGGGAGTCCACCTGCATCTCGCACTGTCACCGAATTCAACTTCTGCAGGTCCTGAATCCATCGCAGAGTACCATTCGGTTTGATGAAACAGAACCATGGAGATGCATATGACCCGTAAGAATAATTTGCAACCTTTGTTCGGATCTTTCCATCGAGATATGCGACCAATTCACGGTGATCCTCCGGATTCGGATAACGTGGCCCTCTCACATTCCATGGCTCATGTGGTACAGTATGAACTCTAATCATCGGGATTTTATCGACCTCCAGCCTTCCTCGCTCATCATCATCGAACGCATAGGAGAGATGTTCCTCCCTCAATATGTCAATGATATACCCTTTTTCCTGCTCAGTGAGGAGGTCCTCCTCCCCAATGATCATACTTTCCACTCTTTCTTTGGTTAACCGACATGACCCCTTTTCATCTCTCTCTTTCATTTCTCTGATCCACTCGCGCTCCTCACGATAATAGACTTCCTCCTCCTGAGTGATCAGAACAGGTATTGGCTTCGCCTTCACGCCTACTTTCTTGTACTTACGTTTGGCGCCAGTGTCAAGCATGCGTCCTCTAAGAAAGGACCCTGTCGAGTGGAGGGCAATTCCTGATCTTCTCCCTTATTCCCCTCCGACGGGGAGTAAACAAGGCGCATAGTTCCTACAATTCCGGTGCCCGTGATGATCTCCGTCAAGGCTTGCACCACATTTGGATCAATCGCCGCATGTGTCAACACAAAATCGATTGCCTGCCCAATATCAGGCAGGGTCAGTGAGAACTCACGAGCATTCGGCTCCTCCCCTAATGATTCCTTTTTCCGTCTCAACTTTTCTGACTCCGGGAAGCTATAGGATTCCGGGTTCAGCTGGTTCCGCGAGCAATAGGGTCCAGTGTTCGCACACTTGACCACTTCGTAATAACCGCAGACAGGATCGCAAAGAATTACAAACATGGTTCCATCATGCCTGTTAATGATGATGCTTTTCGACCGACATAGGAACGCCCTTCCCAGAAGCACCTCATGTTCCACCCTAGGTAACACGTAGAAATAAGACCGGAATTTGACATTTCCGACCGTGAGGAGAACGCCACTAGCTGTCCCGCAGAATGGGGTTGATCCGCTAGCGCCCACCAAAAACCCATAGTCATCTCGGTTGATCTTCAACCCAGCTTCAATGGCATAACGCTCACGAATGATATTCATCTCAGCTCCATCATCCACAAGTGTCGAGTACTCCTGCTGTCCAATCTGAACCTTCATATGGCCGGTTGACACACTTCGCTAGTCCAACTTCGTCCCAGGCGGGGACCAGTTAGCTTCCGGCGGAATCACTTCACCGATCTTAACAGTCATGACTCTCTTGCGAGTCATCCGCTGTTTAAACTCCTCTCGAATCTTCGACGATACCGCCAAAATTTCCTTCAGCGTGACCAAGTCGCGCCGACTTTCCAGAATCTTATTGACGAGTTGCTCGATATCGACCCCCTGCTCCACGGAGATCGAATAAATGTTCTTCTTCTTTCGTGGCTCCTCCTCGCTTACTTCGACCTTCCCTTTCTCCGCCTCCCTTTCCAGTGCACGACGACAAACCCGTTCTTCCTCTCCGGCCCGCAACTTCTCATCCTCGTTATCCTCATCGTTCTAGTGACATTTATTAAGGTTTCTTTCTTATACTTGTAGAAGTTCAGAGATTACTAACCTTTTTCCTTAGACAACCACTACGGCATAATCTTTTACTTGCTTCACTCCCGATTGTCGTTCCACCAGGGACAACGGTAGTCTGCCGTTATCCCCGACAACAACGCCACCTGTCGAGCGCATCGGCCCCCGCGCGAGCGAGGGCCCTCCCTGCCGCGTCACGCAGGAGAAACTTAGTCTTTCAGTTTTTTAGAGGCAACTCAGGGATGACTCGGTCTATGTTGCACGCCCGGCCGCGGCCGGGGGGTCCAAGTCGGCCGCGGCCTAGGCCGACCAACCGACTTCGGTGCAAGATTTTTATTTTATTTTTCTAATGTATGAAAAAAAATATATATATATATATGGGCGTGTAGGGCTAAAAAAACCCTACACTCCTATATATATTTTTTTGGAATCCGACTTTGTTTAAGATTTTTAAAAAATCAAAAATTAAAATCGATTTAAACAAAATTAAAAAATATATATAAAGAAAAGCAAGATTTTTTTTTGGTCATTTTTTATCATGAGATATATGGTCAGTGAGTTTACCTGTATTTTTTTAGAAATGAATTTATGTTTTTTTGCAGAAGTATGAGG